GCAAAAAAGAATAAAATGTGATTTTAGCTTTGGTAGCTATATTCCGAACAAACCTTGAATTAAATTGTTTGGCTTTTGTGCAGATGGACATACAATGATCCTCTTCGGGCAAAATACAATGCAAAAATGGCAGCCGTGAATGCACCTATAGGTAAACCAAAAGGAAGCAAGAAGTTGAAGGATTGGGAATGAAAATGATACTACTAGTTTTTATCAGTCATTCGATTGGAGTCATCTTTTCCTTCTTTGATGGCTTGGCGTCTTTCTTCGCCATCATTTCATGGGGTTCATGCTTATGTTTGCCCTCTGAAATAGGTATGTAGGACTTTTTACTAATCATGGCTTTGGGATTTGCCTCCTAACGCTGGAGAAACTGGATGTATAATGAAGTAAAATTAACAAATTGATTTCCTGAGTTAGCTCCAGTTTCAGCATGTACTTCAGTTGGTGAATATCAGCAGAAAAATTTGCATAAACCAAATATTATATCATTTCTTTTTGGGGACCATTGTTTTGTTATTAGCAGATAATGAATTCATATCATCAATGATTGTAAGAAAAGAAAAAACAAGCTTTAAAGAGGTGTTTTAATGTGAAAGAAAATGAGTTAATGCATGCAAATAATTAATTAAAATAAAGAAAGGCATGGTTTAGTACAATTGATACAATCATATATATATTTATGGGGAAATTAATTTTAGATACCAATTCTCTCTCCTCATTCCTATAAATTCAGGCCACACCAGAAATGGAAAACTCGTGGAAAAAGCAAACAAACAATTGCCCTAAAAGTGAAACAAAAGACTGAAAAAACCAACGAAATTGAGCCAAATATGATATTGGAATTTGAGACTAGTGGGGAGTTGTATGTATTTAGAATTAGGTCTCCCCATTACAAGAAAGAAGACTTGAAGATTGAAGTAGAAGACAAAGCATTGCTCAAGGCAAGTGGGGGGAACAAGGATCAAAGGCTTTGCTACTTTTGTGCCAAGTATCGACTCCCCAAAGATGCCGACCAGGATCAGATCATGGTTTCCAGTGTTTCTGTGGACAATAGTTATTTCACTATCATTACATTTCCAAGGATGTTGGAAGGAGTTGATCTTCAGCTCAGATTATGATCCTAACTACCATATTCATGGGTTTTTCTTTTTATTATTTATCAAAAGAATTTGTGGCCCCAACATAAAGTACCAAAGTTATATTTAAATATCTACAATATTAGTCTCGAAAATAAAACCCAAAATATGTATCCATTCATGCATCATTCTAAATTAATTTGGTGATATTTTGGCCAATAAATTCCATCCTATAAATACTTCTCCAATTGGAAGAATATTAAGCAATAGATTTTTTTTTTTCAAATTCTTTCTAAATCTATGATTATGAAATTCAATCATAAAATAGTTCGATAATCATATCGTTATTGAATTATGATGTCAAGTTTTTAAAAAATTGAAATTGAAGACAATATTTTCTGAATAATTAGAGAAAAAAAATACAGATAAATTCTTTTTCATATTTCTGTCAAGCTTAAGATGACGATAATAATCGAGTCGTGACTTCCGATGGAATTGGCATTTTAGCTAAAGCTTCAAAGAAGTGGAGAGAAATAATATATATTTATATTTATTTTGGAAGAGTATTGGACTGGATTTCAGCCTTAATGGGCTTATTTCCAGCCCAGACCCTTAATAAGCTTATTCAAAACTGGTGTCACGTGGTTTTTCCACCTTTTCATTCCTCTCTCCCATGGCGGAAGAATTTGCTGAAGAAGTCAATAATTCTCTACAGCCTCCTCCGGTAACTTCCGCGGTTCTCTCTCTTTACTTTAAACTTCTATATGTATTTATCTTATTATGTATGGATGTATGTTCATGTACGCGGATTGATGCTGGCAGTGGTGGGATGGGCGATTGTCTCTTATAATTCTGAAACTGATTGAATTTTTGAATCTTGATACTAGTTTATCAATGGGGTTAATCAATTCTCAGCAGCTGTTCTGTAAAAAAACAATCCATATGTTGAATTAACCTTGTTCTAAATTTCGGGAAGTAGTGAAACTGATTTGATTTTTTTTTTATTCTTGAATTGCTTATGCTGGATATGCAGTTTGTGGAGGTAATATGCAAAAGTTCTGGTAAGAAAACACGGTTTGCCGCCGGCACCAAGGCGGGATTTGCAGTTTCATTAATAAATAGAAAGTTGGATATTGGAAATCCTCTTGCTTTGCATATTGAAGCGGTTAAACAAGGGGAGGAACCCATTAGTTTTGGCCCTGATGCAGTTCTTGTGAATTATGGCAATGGCTGGAAGTTGCAGACAGTTACTGAAGTGGATTTTCCCGGTAACTAAGTCCTATCGATTCAAACTATATTGTGGTTTTGAATGTTTCAATCAGTAGGTTCTGATTCTGCTCTATTTTTTGGTATAGGCACAAGAAAAGGGGAAGGTGTTCGGCCAGTTTCAGCACAGATCCCTTTTGTAAAGGTAATAACTTCTCTGGATGGAAGTCTGGCATAAAGTTCTGGTATCTGTTCATGAGAGGAACAAACAATCATAAGTCATAAACTAAAAGACTTGAAGAGGAAACTGGTCACCCTTTTCTTAGGTTCCCTATGACTATGAGACAGTGTAGTTTAAGGATTACTTGTCTGCATTATCTGTAAAATTTACATCTTCAGTTGCATACTACAACCTGCAATCATTCCATTAGATCGGCTATTCTGAATTATAGTAAACGGATGCGTTGCAAAAAAGGAAATGCCAAATGGAAAACCTTCTTTGCTCCTACTTCATGATGTGTTTCCCATTACCGGGAACCAACCTAAAGGCTAACTGGTATTGCTAAAAATTTGGGGTCGGCACTAGTTAACAATTTATGCATCTTAAACCATGTAGTTTTCTTCATCATCTATATTGATATTTTTATTCATTTCCTCTTTGGAAATACACTAGGGTTCATGATGCTTTTATCTTTCTCCTGCATGTAAAGGTTTCAACTCATGACTTGGCTGATATATTTATGTCTGTTTTCAATTTAACAGAACTTTGATGGCTCACATTCTACAAAGGGGACTTCAAAACCAGGAATCAGTTTTCTCTACATTGCCAAAATACTGTTGGCTTTTGTTTTGATGTTTGTATTGGCTGGAATTTTGATGCTGGGTCTTGAGAATCTTCCAAGACTAATTCTGTTTATAAACTCATCCATGTAATTACCTTATTTGTCATCTATGTGATTGATTTCTGGAAAGGCTAAAGTAAAAGTTATTGTGAGGGAGAGAGAGGGAAGTTTATCTTCAATTTGCTGATTATTTACATTTTTGAATATGCATTTTCCCATCCTTAGGAAATATGTGCTATACAAACAAGGGACTGATTTTAGGTCATCAGTCAATAGATTATATATACTTAATAACAGGGGACAACAAAAACTACACACATACAACATTGAGAATTTTTTCTCCAAAACTAAGGCCAACAAGCATTGGTGCAAACATAATCCACATTTTTCCCTATATTTTTTCCCTTTTCCTCCAGGAGAAATTTTCCATTCATGCTGCAACTATGCCAAAGAGTCTCCAGAGGAGCGATAAATTTCATCAGCACGAGCTGCAGGCACATAGACTGCATCCAGCAGCGAGCTGTGGGTTCGGCCATAGAAAATGTAAACAAGAAACCCCAATACGAGCCATACAGAAACCCGAGCCCATGTGGCAGCCCTGACAATTGCAAAGAACATAATATGAGAACAATGCGAATGAAAAGGGTTTAGCCATTTGATAATAGCATACTTCTGATGAATTCTGGAAGACCAAATCAGCAGCACCCAAAGACCATGTGAAAATAGGAGAAAATAAAGAAGAATAGAATAATTTAGTTAACACTTACCCCAAATTAATGAGCAGGTAGACATTGATGAGAATACAGGCAATTGGCAGGAGAGGAACAAAAGGGCATATGAAGCCTGAACATATATCAATATTGAATCAAATATGCATAAATAGATGAAATCGTGAAGATACAACCACCTGTTAAGATGGAGAGCTCAGAGCATACCTCCTGTATGTCCAAAGTTATGCCGTGCGTCATCTTGATCTATACATGTCAACACAATCAGACCAAACAGAAGAAGAACACCCCCAACTCCACATAACATGAAACGAAGAAGGCTAGAAGAAGATACCAACAACATCAAACCAAAAGAAAGAAAATAGATAATGGAAACATTTGAAAAGACAAAATTCAATGGAAAGATAATAAAAATAAATTCTTCAGCCATATATGCTGCAAACCACTACAAAGCTTTTCTCTGGCTATTCTTCTTTTTCAATCACAATAATAATGAATAACTAAATGGTGGACACAAACATTTCCTTGGATTTCAACTCTCTCTCTTCACCCCTATCAATGTATAACACCAGAGCACCATAAATTTACTCTCCATCTCCCTCTTTTTTCCTGCATCAGAAAAGTATGCCACCCACTTCTGGAAACTCATGATAATGAAAAGCTTAATAATGGCCAAGAATAATAAATTGCCTCCAATCTATCCTGAACAAGGAACTCAGTAGTTCAACAATACAGACATGAACAGCCTACCTTGGAAGCCACAAACTTGAAGCTGCAAACGTAAGGCTAAATGCCCCTACACATGTTAACAATATAGTCCAGCCAGCAATTTTTCGCCTGTTCTCTTCACTGAGGGTACCTGCAATAATCATTACACAGGAGAGAATCGATACGTCAGGAAATACCAGTTGATGAAAAGCATAGTGGAACAAATGAATGCTACATAGGTTTCAGGGTGGACAGGTGGCAGACTGACCCCATGCCCATATAATTTGAATTTTGGACAATGGAGATACTGTTCAATTCAATGTGGAGAAACTTCACGGTCATAATGTCCAAACCAGTGAAATGTGATTAATTGTACACCTTGATTAGAAGTTCCAAAATAGTCTATTACATAATTAGTTCTCATTGTTTAGTACTTTTAAAAGCCAGGAAAAAAAACTTCAAGCACATTACTTACAGAAGCTAGTGATAAAACAAGACATGGTATACTGATTACTTAAATTATTTTATACGATATGTTTTAACAAAAAGGTGACAGAAGGCAAGGAACTTACAACTGGCTTGAGCTTCTTGCTTTTCAATAATGGGACAATCAATAGCCACATTCTTCTTGCTGAGCAAAGGCTGAGAACTACCTGTAGAAGTACTCATCTCAGGGTTTTCCCCACTAATCACCTGAGAATCCCTTCTATATCTTAGTGTCACAGAATCAATCGACTCCTGAAGTGATGACGGAAGTGGCACCTCATCTGGTGGGAGATATCTGAGTATCAACACAGAAATTGCTACCATAGTAAATGCAAGAAGTGTACCCACGCTGACCTGCAAAAGAAAGGTAACTCTTAGGAGCTCCCTATTCTAGGCAAATGCATCCAAGAGCCTGTCATAAACTAGAAACTCAATCCAGAGGAGCTAGTTCACAGAAACCACATCGCATTAGTCTTTATAATAAAGCAAAAGCCCTTTCTAAAATTAAAAAAAAAAGGAAAACAACATAAGATAAAAAACGCAGCTTTTAAAGCTGAGAAATGATCACAACGTAGAGTTTGTGAAAAGCCTATTAATGTTGTATCACAGACTGTAAATGATCAAGCAGATTATGGCAACAATCAAAGACATATCATTGTATGGTTATTAAATTTAATTTTGACTTTAACATAAAGTGGGTCACCATAGGAACTGAAAGCACTCAAGGCCTAGTAAACCACAACCGTAGCACACATTCATAGCCTGCACCAACAGGCCCCAAAAAGAAAGAAAAAAATCCGATACCAGTGGCAAGAAATGCCTACTTACCATCCCTGCCAATTGTGAAACATCCATGAAGAATGACAAGGTAGCAGCAACTATACCAGTTGTCAATGTGCTCTTGACAGGAACTTGGGAGCGTTTATTAACATCTGAAAAAAAGGATGGCAGCAATCCATCTCTAGCCATGGCCATAAGGATTCGAGGCTGCAAACACACAATCAAGTACATTATTATTAAATAATTAAATCATGCAAAAGTAAAATATTAAGATCTATGATCAGTCATGTAGATTATTAAGAGCTAGCATTTCACTATTTACAGATTAGGATCATGAGCAAGTATGTTGAAATTCTGACAACAAACCAGTGAAACTTTAGAAGTAATTAAAAGATTGTTGTGGGGTGGGAGAGAGAGGGAGAGAACCAAACATAGTAATTAAAAAGTGTATACAAAATTCTTACATTAATATTTATAATTATGCAACCAACAAATTTATGTCAGCAGTAAGAAATCATAATTGAATCCAAATGCTATATTGACTTTGAAAGGGATCTCTTTGGTTAGTAAATCTTTTGAAGAACATGGAATTGAACATCCACTTTATAGTTCTCAGCCTAGGTTGTATTTAGCTCTGCAATTAGTATGATACAAGAATTCTCATTTGAGACAATTATTTGAGAGAAAGAAATGACAGAACTGTAATGTGGATTATAAGTAAGGACATTAACATCATCTTCATGCAATATTTGCAGAAATGCCAAACAATTTCACGGTTGTACCAATGAGAAATTCATATGTACCTGAGGGAGCATTGAGCCCATCAATGTTGAGCAAAGGGCAGTAACAGCTCCAATGGTTATAATGTAACTGAAATCACAAAATGAGATTCCCCGTATGAAAAGGCTTCAGAAAACAATAAATAAATAACACAAACACTTTGAATGCACCATGAATACTCACGCTGCCCATTGCATCCCATAGTTAGCAAATGCGGAAGAGATGGGGGTGTCAGGATCCATTTCATAATAGGGGACCAGACCAACAATCACAACAGAGACCAGCATGTACAACCCACAACAAATGGAGAGTGCTGTCGCAATACCCAGTGGTAAATCCCGCTGGGGATTCTTAACCTGTCATACATTATTTCGGCATGGATTTCAAATTCTTCAGGTCACTCGAAAAGAAGACTTTAAATATAAGGCAAACTGCTATCACTAAACAAACTACATACCTCCTCAGCAGTGCTGGCAACCGAATCAAAACCAATATATGCAAAAAACACTGTTGCAGACCCAGCAAGCATTCCATCCACCCCAAATGGAAAATACCTATTGGACAAATAAGTTAAATAACAACTATCATACAAGGATGGAAATACAACATGAAATGCCAATTACCCAGTAGGCAGTTCGTATCCAGCCCATCCAGTCTTGAAACCCAGATAACCACCAGCTACGATCACAAAAATCATGGCACATACATTTGCGCTGGTGACAATTGCTTGAGCAAGTGTACTCTGCATGAGACGTTTTAATTTAAGGTTACAAAGGGTCATCACCCACACAGACAGAAAAGGAACTGAATAAAAAGGAGATACCTCCTTGATTCCCACGCATAAGAGTCCAGTCACGACGAAAACTAGAACTGCAGCACAAGGGTCCACCACAATATCAAGCCCGGGAATATGTTGACGAGCTAGAAAAATCGGCAGACTATTTTGACCCCCAAAAAGCAAAGCCTGGATGCAAATATCAAAAGAAAATAGGAAAGTGTGCCATGTAATTAGCAAACAAAAGAAGGAAACTCCCACCCCCACAACCCTGAAGCACCCCCATCCCCAGCCAAAAAAAGGCAAAAAAAATTTGAGTAAGAAAATTCACTAAACCAGATTAGGAGAAATGCCACGAGCAACTGCTGCTCCACCAATTGTATACTCCAGTATCAGAGCCCAACCAATCAACCAGGCAACGCTACAAAATGATATTGCTTGTATCAGTGGCTGAAAAAAATGATAAATCTTCAAGATGCGAGAAAGAAGAGGATTGTACCATTAGAGCCACTTTAGTATTCTTTTACCAAATGGAATGATTAACTATTATTGAAGGTAAATCCTAACTACCAACTTTTCCAATTACAAGAACAAAGAAAAACAACAGCAATAAATGTACAAGGAAAATCAAGAAATTAGAAATTACCCTTCACCAACACAAATGTATGAATAATGATAGGCACTGCCAGCAGATGGGCAACGACTGGCAAGCTCAGCATAGCAAAACGCAGAGAGAGCAGCAGCAATTCCAGCTATTAGAAAAGAAATGGTGAGAGCTGGACCAGAATGCTCTCTAGCAACTGTTCCAACAAGGATATAAACTCCTGCTCCAATTGTTGATCCAACACCTAATCACAGTGCCCAAAATTCGCAATAAGCTATCCATTGTAGATATTAAAACCAAAAAGCAAACAAACAATAATCTTAAAAGTAAAAAGAACCACCATAAGCCAACTCTCCTAGTTAGAGGAAAAAGAAAATCAAACTAAACATAATTCAAAAACAAGAATTACCCGATACATCAAAGATATCCACAAGAGGAATAAGTAAAAAAAACCAGTAATTTACAATAAAAGTGTGGATAAAGATCCAAAACCATCATTAAAACCCCTACAAAATGGATAAAAAAACAGCTTAAAACACAAAACTCGGATAAAAATTTCCCCAAAAGGAACTAAAAAATAAAATAAATACATAGATTGCTATAAGATTAGAAACAATCAAAACACAAAAAGAAGATCAATGTTTCCCAAAAACCATTTAAACAACACAAAACCATGAAAAAAGCAGCTAAAAACCCAAATTCAGGATCAAAAATTCCAAAACCCCCCCCCCCCCCCAAAAAAAAAAAAAGAAAAAAAGCAATCAAAATTTCCCCAAAAACAGCTAAAAACAAGAACCAACCAAATACAAAACAAAAACGCAAAACCAAGATCAAATTTTTCCCAAAAAACAGCTTAAACACACACAAACCCAGATCAAACCCAAAAAACAAAAAAAAAAGGCAAAATATTACCAATCGCTATGAGATGAGGAACAGTCAACTCTTTAGCCAACTGATGATGACCCAAACGCTGGGAATGAGCAGAATCCACCTGTTTTCTTCTTACAAAACTCTTTAAACAACCCCACGAAGAACAAAAACCATCTTTTTGGGAATCAACCAAATAACCCATCAATAATTCCCACCCAAATTTATCAACTTTCCCCAATAATTAACAACAAAATTATATGAATTAATGGTATTTTACAAACTTAGCTTTTGAACAAAACAAGAAATGCTAAAAATTTATACACAATATATATTAAAAATAATAATAAACTTTATTAACATTAAAATCTGCCCCCGTGAACCCTTCCAAGATGTAAATTTGGTTCAAGTATTTCGCACTTGTAATTCTTGTTGTTCTTAAAAGGGAATCAAAGCGGGCAGATTTTAGAAATATAGAGAGAAAAAATATATATAGTCCTTTTTGAATACTTCGCTTTTGTTTTGAGAAAATGAAATGTTCTGGATTTTAAAGGACTGACTTGCTGAGGACCAAACCAATAGGTTGGGCTATCCGTTAATGATTGACTTTCACTATTTCGGGAATAATAGAATACTTAAACCAATTAAATGTCACGTTTTCTTTAATAAATATCAAAATAACAGTTTTTTGTGATATTCTTTTAGGAAACATAAAGTCAACAAAATATCAATTCATGAAGAAAGTGTCTCCATGATAATTGATCATTTCTATACTTATATTGTTTGATCCCCAAAACTTTTTAGAGAAATTAGCATTAATATTTTATTGTTATAGGCAAAAAAAAAAAAGCATTATATTATTAAAATTTTATATTTAATATTCATAGTCAAAAAAAATAAGCATTATGACTTTTTTAACAAATAAATTTTAAAATTAAAAAATCTTCAAAAATAAATATTCCTTACTTTAAAAATATTTATTTGGAAAATTTTTTTATTTTTATCTTTGTGCATTCTGTAATTAAGTAACAGTGTATCAACACAAATTTATTATTATTATTATTATTATTATTATTATTATTATTATTATTATTATTATTATTATTATTATTATTATTGTTATGGTTTTGTGGTGGTGCAATGAACAATCTAAGAGATGTGACAGTAAAAGTAATGATGAAAATTATATATTTATGGTGATAGACAACTAAATTGGAACTCTTTTAAGAAAGGGGCATGAAAGCTGAAGAAAATGGATGAAATAAAGGAATAAGTATGGTCACAGGCTTTTCATTATATCTCTAAATAAAATGTTTTAATTGGACACATGATTATATATATATATTATGTATTTTTATATATGACAAGAGATTAATCAGTTTAAACTTAAATTTCATAGTAAAGAAATATTCTAAAAACATTTTCATAAATGATTTAATGAATTGTCATATTTATTTTGTCGTACATTCTTAAAAAAAATATCTTTATTTACAAACATAAAAAAACAAAAGTTTATTTTAGTTTTACAATATATAAAATTTGGTATAATATTTTAAAAAACTTTTAAATTATTTAAAAATTTTAAATAAAATTTTATTTTTTAGTGTAATTAAATTTTTTTATTTTTATTTTAAATTAAATTAATTAATTAATAATTTTTAATTAAAATATCACTTATTATTTTATATCATATATCGTTAATGTAATATGTTAATATGTTATAATTATTGATAACGTAATATGATAGCATAATAATATGATATTTTGATATTTTATATTAATATTATATAATATAAAATAATAAATAATATTTTAATTAAATAAAATATAAATATTTAATTAAATGTAATCAAAATAATTTTTTTAAAAATTTTAAGGTATTATATATTATTTTAATAATTAACTTTTTAAATTATTATATCATAAAATTTTGAATTAAACAGACAGATCCAAATTTCCTATCGCAGAAATCACAGGCTCTTATGCTAGGATGTCTACTTGAAGTTGGAACCAATAATCCTCGGAGCCTTCGACAACTTGACATCTTTCGAGAAACAAATATGATTTTATGCTTTGAAAATTACCTGGCTGTTAATCAATGACAACTGACACAAAGAATAACTAAATTATTAGTAGCATGTGATTTTAAATTTTTGGTTAAATGATGATTGAGCGCAACTTGGATTGCCTTTTCTAGGTGGATTCTGATCCAAATCTACCAAATTGTATTTTTTTTTATTTGTTAGATTTTTTATGGGGATTTACAAAGTGGGGCAGTGGACATCATTTTAAATTACGTAGGAGACTATCCGCAGCTCGTTGTGGCAATTCCAACACTGAAAAACAATAGATATTAGACCCAAGCCGACTACTCTTTGATCAGATCTGGCCTATTCTGATAGAATCCAATGACGAAATGGTTGAAAAAGATCTCATACAACTTAAGATTCGATGATATCTTTTTAAATTCTATTTAGATAATAATTAAATTCATTAAAATAACTTCAAAAAATATTTTAATATTTAAATTTAAATAATAAGAACCTCAATTTAACAGTTTTTTAAAAAAGATTTAATGTTTTGAAATTTAAATTGATCTTGATTTACGTTAGATATATATAGATTTAACAAAATTGACTGATGAATGAAAGGGAAGAAAATGAAAAAAAAAATATAATAGTGAGGGTAAAACTATAATTATGATTTTTTTTTCTTATCAATTAAATAAATTATTGATGGAGAGAAAAATAAATAAAAACTATTATTTTCATTTCGTTAAATATTTTTGGGGGTAAGTGCATACATTAAATATTCAAGAGTCCATGGGGCCATTTTGTAATTCCCCCAATTATTAATAGGTGAGAAATTGGGTGCCGCTGGCATTTTGTCACGTGGGTCTGTGTCGGCTAATAAGCGCAGGATTCGGAGGAGAATTTTGGAGGCGGGGCCCATTGGCCCCTGGGATCCTTCCATCCCGGCAATGCAATTTAAGAACTATTTGGCACTCTTTTCCAATTAATTAATGAAACAAAATAGAACGGATGGTTCAAACGTAAAAATCCATGGGCAAGCTGACCTAGCTTACCCAGAATACAATATCCAGTTCCTTTGTTCACCGGACCTCTTCCCATTACTCTTTTTTATTATTATTTAATTATATTTTTAATTTGCGTACAAATCAAAGTCATTGGGTTTTCGGTTTAGACCGTGGAATATATATATATATATATATATTTATTATATTTTTGAAAGTGGATGCTTCATTTTATTCATAAAGAGAAACAGGGAATAAAGAGAACCCTGCTGAAACGACCAGAGGAATATATTTCCTCTTGATTTCTTTATTTTTAAAGTCAGATTCTATATAATCAAATTAAATTTTTCAAATTTTTATCATTAAAGAATTCTCTAAACGTCATTGGACATGCAACATATTGATTGACATTTCTAAAATTTAAATTCAAATTAAAAACTATTTTCCAAATATATTTTATAATTAAAATTAAAGAAAAATGATTTATTACTACAATATTATTTGTATCTATTACTAACTTTAAAATAGGACTTAACATGATAAGGCTTAAGCCTAATTACTCTTAAAGAAAAAAAAATATGTTTATGTTAGGAGAAGAAATATTTGAACTTTACTTTTTGTAAAAAAAAATTATATATCAACTAATGAAATAAATATTTAAAAATAATTTATGAAAAAATTTTTAAAATAAATAGCTTACTATTCATGTATTAACTAAAGTTAAAGACTGAATGGAAGGTGGTGAGAGGTGACCATCTTTATTTTATTTATTTATTTATTTATTATTATTATATATAATTTTATCACTTTTATCAAAATTAAGTAACTTGTTCTAAAATAGTGGTGAGTTATCTTTGGTGTAAAATCTTAAATCTATTATTGATTAAAGCAAAATAGATTCTTTGTCAATATTGATTTTTTAACCTATATGTTAAATAATTATCTCATGAAAATTCAAGAATTAATCAAGTGAAGTTAATCATATTAAATTAAGCTTTCCCATTGGCAATGATTAAGAAAAGCCAAGAGAATTAAATTAATGACTAAAAACATTGAATAATTGCAAGTGATGCGTGTTGGAACGGAATTGAGATTAGCCATCCTATGAAATGAAATTAAGCTGACATAACTGACATGACAAGATGTTTTAACATTAAAAAATTAAAAAAATAAACATTTCGAGATAAACATTGAAAAAGTTAGTTGAACTTGTGGATATGAAATGCTCTCGCACTATTAGAAAAGACACGTGTCTCAACTCTTACGTAATACATCTCGGTCGCATTGGAAACTATAACATGTATAGTAATACTTCAATCTGGGATTAAGATGCTTTAACATTAATTAATTATGATAATTACGCATGTCATGTTATGTATGATAAGAAAGAAAACCCTTTTGTTAAGTAAGAAAAGTAAAGACTAATAAGCATTTACTGTGGATTGTTTTATAAATAAAGAATAAAGACATGCACTATAAATATATGTGTTCTTTATTCAAAAAAATAAAATTAAAATCATCATTGTTCATAAAAATTTAAAAAAAAATACGAAAGCTCATTGTTTCCCGAAAAGGCAACCAAGAAAATGGCAATTGAATTAGTCTTAGTACCTGATGGAAAACGTTTTGAATTGAATTTAATTTTTGACCGGTCAAATTCCTCATGCTCTTAATCTTTTTTGGGTTGAAATATACATAAATGTTTCTTATTTATTATATTAAATTATGATTTGTGCGTTATATATGATTTTTTTATTTTTTTATGTTTTTATGACTTTTACGTGATTTGAGGAAAAAGCCCCTTTAAGGTTTTGTTTTACTTATGTAATAAATTTTTAAAAAGTCTAAATTAAAGTTTATATATATATTTTGAATTTCAGATCATTTAACATAATCTAACAATTAGCTGTAAAAAGACTAACTAAAGTAGGCAAGAAAACATAGCTAATATGTGGCATATATTTATGTACGGTTACGAAAATTTGACACAAGAAACCATGATTTATAAAAACAAAATTTCTTTTATTATTTTTTTATTTAATGAAAAGATATTTAAATTTTATTTTTTAAAAAATTAAATAATAATTAATGCATCTAATATTCAGATACAAATTTTTTGTTATTATTACGTGTTTTAATATTCTTCAAATGAAATAAGATACGCCAATAGAGACCGGGTATATATGAAAATGACAGCATCTCCCTCTACGTACAGGGTGCCCATACCATATCCATACGACATCGTCACCAACTCAAGGTTTCCAACAACTTTCCACGTGGCAGAGATCGGTCAGAAAGAATCGGGGAATTAAAACTATTTCC